GGGGCGGCCCCTCTCCGCGCCCCCTCCCCGCGGAGCTCCCGCCCGGCCCCTGCCTCTAACTCTGCGCGCCTTCCCGCGGCTGATGCTGAGCGGCGCGGAGCAGGTTTCGTACAGCTGTGTTAAAAAGTACATCGCCGGGTCCTTTCGGGGGATAGAAAGGCGATGTGAACGGGATAAGTGATTGTTGTCTCGGAAGCAGGCGAAGGCAGCGGAGCGCGGGGGGTGTAATTGTAATTCGGTGGGAAGATTATGCGAGGATCCGAAACGACCCCTGATCAAGCGGGGACGCTGGTACAGAAAATGTTATGCCATAAATGGAGATTTAAATTGGGGGTGGGTGGGGTTGCTGTTTATGGGACCCTTAGGTAGATAAAGCAAAATTAGAATTAATAATAATAATATGCTTAGCATTGTGGGATAAACAACCACCGTATTCCGGGCTTTGAGCACTTTCCCTGTGGTCTCCTCGTTACTTCTGAGAACGGTGTGGAGGTAGCCTCAAAAATGCACTGTATTCTTTTCACATGCTGTGTAATTAATACTCACGGCTTAGATTATGACACTTTTTGCATTTCATTCAGAACGTTCTTTCGATACGCTGGATACCATGAGGAGTGTAGGCAAAGTAAGTGCTCTTGATTGTCTCGTCCCCTCTCATCTGTCATTGCCATCCTCATATGTGTGTACTCAGAAAGGGGAGCTGTACCGAACAGCGAGTTTGCTTATCTTCTTTAAAAAGACTATTTTGTTTTAAATACTTACATGCAGGTATTTTGTAACTTCCTTGCAAGTTTTCATAGGTAAAGCTTGTTTTCATGTGGCATATGTTGTAACAGTGATTAAAGCAGATGTAGGAAGTCCTTAACCTAGTTAGTCCTCTACAATTTCCTAGCATAAACTGCAGGCATTTCACTACAACATCATGAACACAAAAAGACAATGTTTAACCTACAGAATGTATTAAAAAAAAAAAAAAGTTACTTGTATTGAGACTTTGAATGACTGTTCATGAAAATCCAGGAACTTACTAAATGAACAAATGGGCAGGAAAAAGGCTCAAGTGGCAATGTGATATATCCATGTCCTGCATATAGTATTAGGCCAGACACTTATGTTCATCATCACTTGCATTTATACAGGCTATGTTGTACTATATTGTACAATCTAATATGGTGTGTGTATAATATGTGTATGGGGTCTGTACACATATAAGGATACTTAAAATTATGTAAATATATTAACCACACAAAGAAGATATGTGCACATGACAGTATATAAAGGAATTAAATAAGAGATTTCAAAAGCAAAAGGTACATATTTCTCTTCTTGATCAACTCATTTTAAATGCCCCATGACCCTGATAATCATAAATTTAGCTAAAGATGACATATTGTATGCACTGCTTCCTTGAAACAGTCACAGATATATTCACAGATACACCAAAACAATCCATATACATTGAGAAGGGTATATTACAGTGTGTTTTTTTTTTTTAATTGTGCTTCTTACACCTTAAATCTCTGTGAAATTGACTCAGAATTTAAAATCCCTTTTAGTGAATTTGATTTTTTCATTTTCCTCTGCTTCTTTTTGGTGTTTTCTGATACTTCATTGTGTTTTGTAGGATGCACAGCCCTGTATTGCACCTGATCCAGCTGAGCGTTGGATCTTCTGTGAACAAAAACAGAAAAGAGAAATATTACAACTGAACCAAAATACTCAAGCTAAATGGACCATATCCCTCAGATTTGGTATCAAAATCTCTGAGAGAAAAATAGTAAAAAAAAAGGCAACTGGGAACCTCATTCAACTCAATGTGTTACAATTCAGACACCATCAAAGTAAACAGTTAACTGGAACAATGTAATCAAAAATACTAATGTTACTTTTTTGCTTTGTTCTGGTCTGTCCTTTTATTCTTACTCAAAATCTGTAGGCCAGATTCTGCCTTTTATTTAAACCTGTGTGTAGTTAGAATGACTCTCTCGATAGTACCGGCCTTCCCTGTACAGAAACTAGCTTGATACTAGCCGAGCTTCCCTATAAAGAATTGTAATGGTCTAAGCAGACTTTGGAGAAATATTTAAATAATTTTGCCATTAAAATTGCTTAACTCTATCTCCACCACGTAACTGGATCTGAAACTGTCATACAAGAAATATGGGATGAATTCTAAGGCTATACAAGCACACATAAGGACATGAGCATGGTTTGAAAGCAGTTAGAAAACTCTGTCTTCACAGATTCCCTTTCTGCAGGATTTAAACGTTCTTTCTTGGCTACTTGTGCAGGGCTGAAGCAAAACCTGAATAGCTTCAAAAAGGCGTTGAAGGTTCGTCTCAGACGTAGTTTATGAAAATTATACTGAGTTTTGATTCTGTCCACACAAGAATGACCCTCAAAACTGGTTTTGACCAAAAACATTTGAACTGTGATTTCCAGTAGTAAAAGTGGAGATTAGACTTAAGTAACAGAAGATCTTTTTAAACCCTGAATTCGGTAATATATGGTCATAATCTAAGCAATCCATAAGCAATCCATTACCTGTGCACAAGATTTTCTATGAAGTACTCAGTACATATTTTTGTACAATTTTTGGTGAATTTTTAATGATTTTTTTGTAGGATTTTTAATATAAAAATGCAGTGGGATCATGATGTTTGACTTTTAAATAATATGTGTATAATAAATCATTGTATGAGAATTCGCATTTAGTCTTCCAGGTGTAATGGCACTTGTGTTCCAAATCTTGACGAGAGATGAAATTTCTGTACGGTGCCAATTTCAGATCTTCTGGTGGATTTATAAGGCAGACTAGCTCTACTATAGTAAACAAGGCAATGCATTAGATAAATATTACTGATTCATAAAGAAATTGTAGAGAATTGGGACTGGCTTGTTTGAAAAGCATGATCATATAAAAAGTCCTTTCTATAGATGAAATTTCAGTTGTTTTTTTTTTAAAAAAAAACCCTTTTAGTTAGCACAAATCAAAAATAGTGCTATAAAGCTTCACACTTTAAAGTCTTCACATACATCTGAATGATAATAATAATTCACTGTCAAATTTTCTCTCGAGGGATTTAAAGTTATACACTGTGCTAAATAGATACTTAGAATCTGTTTTTCAAATCTATGAATTTTCAATAAACTTGAAAAACACTGTACAGAAATAGAGATAAGATGGTGTACCATCTTGCCATTTAATGGAAATGAGATACATTCTATAGAACAATACAAATAAATGCACGGTAAATGCATATGTGAACATGAAATGCCTCCGCCTTTCCCAAGAAACAGTAGCAAAGAGTTGTACTCTTTGCTGGTCCAAAATTATGCTGCATCTGGGTCCTGTAAGACTGCTTCCCCCGATAAATCTGAATTTGAAAGCTGTTTTACTGAGGAACAAGAGCTTTTCGAGAATATACTGTCTCTGTGTTGATCACTCTTCAGTATATCTCATTGTGACCTTCCCCTGGGAAGCCCGAGCAGAGCAAGCCAGTGCCATTATCCTGCAACAGCATCTGGAGATATTCTGAAAGGAGATAATTTCCATTGCTCACCTATGAATTAAAGTGATGCCTTCGTGCCCGGGTGCAACAAGAAGTAACCACAGACATAAGCACATTGTTGACTTCAATGCTCTATAAGATTCCAAGTTTCAATTTTCCTAGGATGTTTGTCATACTAAAAATT